GACAACACCAAGTTAAGGGTTAAGATCCCCTTACCGGTCATCTTTAAAAAAAAAAAAGAAAGAAAATGTATAGTTTAATAGTCCAATAAGCGTACAGACCCATGTAACCACCATCCCAATTAAGATTTAGAACATTTTTGTCACCCCAAAGAACACTTTCATACCCTTTTACAGTCAGTCCCCATATCCAACCCCAGCCCCAGTCAACCACTGATCTGCTTTCTGTCCCTGTCAATTAGTTTTGCCTGTTCTAGAATTTCATATAAATGTGATCATACACTACTTACTCTGTTTGTGTCTGGTTTCTCTCAACTTACCTATGTTGTTGTTTATATCAGTAGTTCATCTATTTTTTATTGCCAAACATTATTCCATGGCGTAATAACTTCGTATAGCATACATTATACGAAGTTATACGAATGTATGTGACAGGCCGTTACACCACCGCCGTTTTCTCATTTCTGGTGACCACCCAGGTCCTGCCTGCAGCCATTCTTACTTACTGTAGGGATCCATCAATTACTTTTAAGCTTCACCCTCCAGCTCTGCTTTTCACCATCTCTGCAGATGCGAAAGAAAGGCCTTCGGGGAGGAAAAACAGGCTCGTTGTTAAATCTAAGGCTTTCCAGACAATGCCTACAATCCCATGGGTTACTATCTGTGGAGTTAAATAAAAATGACTGGGGCCGCCCTCAAGGCACCCCGAGTGGAAGTTATGTATGCACACGTTAACACTCCTGATGCTGAATTAGCAACTGCCACTTTCAGACGGTTTGTCCCCTGGGCGGACAGCGGAGACCCCCGGGCGTGCATGCTTAGCACAAGGGTGGGTGGCTGCGAGGCGCACGGGGCCGCGCAGGCTGGACGGACCGCCGTCCCCCAGGCGGGACCCTTCGACGCCAAAGCGGGTTTGAGCTGTCTCCTCGGTAACAAAGCTTCCCCCCGTCTGTCTTTTTTTTTTTTTTTTTTAAAGATGACCGGTAAGGGGATCTTAACCCTTGACTTGGTGTTGTCAGCACCACGCTCAGCCAGTGAGCAAAAAAAAAATTTACTCTCAGTCTTTCCAAAAGCAGAAGTTTAATTTTGATAAAGACCAATTTACCAATTTTTCTTTTATGGTTAGTGCTTTTTTTACCCTATTGAAAGAAACTTTCTTTCTTCATTGAATTAACTTTGTTACGTCTGATTTTGGATTCCATGAGTCTATGTGTATATCCTTATAAATAGCATACTGTCCTGACTTCTGATTTTTTCTCCTCACTTTCACGAGACCACCATACTCTGCTTGGGTTTCCTCCAAGCCACTGGCAGGGAATTGTCTCCAGGCAGAGGCTGAGGCAGTCCTGGGGTCACTGTCCTGTGTGCTGCCTGTTGTCAAGTGTCTGTTTCTTATATTTTGCCCAGTTTTCTGGTTGTCTGTGGCAGAAGGTTTTAATCCAGTTCTGTATCCATAGTGTCTGGTACACAGGCACTCCATAAATGTGTGTCACGTGGGTGAGTCTTCGTCAGCACCTCCAGATGTAATCCATTATAGTCTCTTTTGATTGGGAAAATGTGGAGCCCCCAGAGGTCATCTGATACATCCCCTTCGTTTCACTGGACAGTTCTTTCCTTGAGGAGGTCATTAGTCCTTTACGTCTCAGCACCAACCCACCTGGGTTCATCACATCTTTATTGAGTGGGGAAACTGAGGTTCAAAGAACAAAAGGTCACATGAGCAGGCAGGCCCAAGCTGGCAGAACTAGACTTTGTAGGCTGGGATCTTCCCGTAGTACTAACTGGCAGGGCAGGGACTTTCTTTCATCCCTGTATCTCTCCCAACACCTAACACAGTGTTTGTACATTGTAGGCTCTCAATACATGCTTATTCAATAAATGACCAAATGAATAAGTTATTTTAATACTTTAGTGGCTTGTGCCTCTGCATATGATAGTGTGTGTGTGTATGTGTGTGTGTGTGTGTGTGTGTGTGTGTGTGTGTCTGTCTGTCTGTCTGTCACATAGGGACAGGACCAGCCCCTCCTACCTAGGCCCATAGGCTCAGAGTCTATCAGTAAATCTTTTTTGTTGTTGATTTAATTTTCTCAGCCACCCTGTAGTCCTAATCCCCACTAGGGGGCACATGTATTCCACAGAGAGGGTCTGTAGTCCTTAGGTACAAGGACTTGTACCCAGCTTGTCAGTGGATCCTTCTTGAAGCCATCTCCTTAGTCTTCATGCCCTGCACCCTCCCCCTGCAAAAAAATAAACAAAAACAGCCTTCCTCCTCAAGCTCCCTCCTCTCCAGCTGGGCTGCTGGCTGTCGTGCTCTCCTCTCCCTAGGGCCCTGCCCCTGGTTGAAGGAGGCAACAGAGTGGCAGTGGCAGTGACTGTGAGTGATAGCCTCACTGTCTGTCACCCTGTGAAGGGACGCTGCTCCCTCCTTGAGGGGCACTGATGGGTCCTAGAGAGCAGTGCTCTTCACCCCCTCAACTGGCAGGCAAGGACTTGCCTTTTGGGCTTCAGAGTCTGGCCTGCCTGTGAATGATGAGTTTCTGAAGAGAGCAGTGGAAATAACCCGTGCACATACCAGCCTACCTGCAAAGGCATGGTCAGAGCAGGTCCACAGCCCCATTCCTTGTGCCCTTGTAGGCAGCTCGTGCTCAGAATTTCCTCACAGCCCCCAACTCTAGACTAGGTCCCTCCTACCCCAAGCTTTGGCGTCAGATTTCCCAGGGACATGCCCTGGCTTCACTGCTAGCTCTGAGTGACCTTGAGCGAGTTCTGTGAACTTCACTTTCCTTATTGGATAAATGAGAATAACAACAGTCCCTGCCTCATAAATGAGACAATGCTTATAAATAAAGCACTTGGCATGATGCCTGGCACATAGTAGGCGTCTGATACATGTTAGCCATTAGTAGTAGTAGTAGTAGTATCATTATCATTATATTGATGTAAGCCTCATGTAAGCCACTTTGTTGTTCTCCTTTCAAGGCTCACAAAGGAGCCTCAAAGAAAATTATTTTCCTCTAGCGCTAGGTATTGGGCTTCTCCTTAACATTGAGGCCCCCACAGAGGGGCCCTGGGAACCCATGGGACCAGTGGGGCACACTGTGCCTGCTCAGATCGGGCACCATGCCATGCCCATCTAGTCTTAGACCAGGGCCTCTGCTGTATGCCCTTGCCCAGGACTGTCTGGCACACACCTATGTACAATCACGCATTTGGGATAGGTAGGTACTCCCCAAGGTCGCATCTGTACCCTAGGGTGACACAGGACAGCTGCAGCTGCAGCTGCTATGGCTTACTTCCCTTGCTCCTCTACCCCACTCCTGCCACCTCATTAGTTCTCTGGTCATGTTCCAATCTCCAGGAGAGACTGGCAGCGACCCTGAGTCTCAGTCACAGAAGTAGCAGACAACAGCACCTCCCTGCTCCTGGCTGCTGCCCTTGGCCACCTTGCAGCTCGGAGTGGCCTTTTCCCTGTCACTCAGGCTCCCACCAGCAGAGAGATTAGCATTCGGATGGAGGGAGGAAAAGCATCAGGGAAACCACCTCCTGTCTTCTTGTCTTCTCAAGGAACAGAGATTCATTCGGGAAGCAGAGCCAGTTCCAGGACAAGACCACTGCTAGAGGTTGGGACAGAGTTCTGAGCACATGAGGCAAGGGTGATCTCTCTAGGACAGGCTTGCTTGGTACTCTCCCCCGGCCCAGCCATTCTATCCTCTGCCATCCTCCAGTTTGTTTCAGAATTGCCCATCACCCAGCAATTGTAGACATGGAGAGACAGGGCAGGAAGGACCATGGGGTGAGGACGTGAGGAACTCTAGCTGTTGTGAATTTACCATTGTTCAGTAATTTGCAGTTCACAAACAATCACACTAGCATATATGGAACACTAAGCGTGCTAAGCACTTTATGTGAATTATCTAATTAACCCTTACAACAACAACTTGTAAGGGATGAGTACTACTATTATTTCCATCTCATAGCTGAGGAAACTGAGGCACAGAGACATTTAGTAACCTACCCAAGGCCACAGAGGTAGGAAGTGGTCGTGGAGTCAAGATTCAAATCCAGGTACTCTGACCCTGCACTGCTTGCTCTTAGATTCTTTATTGTTATTTCACAGTAGCCAGCACCCTAGACCAGGAATCACTCAGCTCCTCACCTCAGCCCTGTCTCTTCAGCTGCCCTTAACTCCTTCTCCACCAAGCCCCTGAACATTCCTGCTCCCATTTCCAAGCAGTGGCCCTTTGGAAGGAAATGTGAGGGGTAAGGAATCAGCCTCTGTGGGGACCGTGTCATAGTCAAGATTTAAATGACTCCCCCACTTAAAGGTCCATCTTCCCCACAAACTTTACACTAACCCCTGTGACAGGAGCAAGTGGGCCAAGGAAGGGGTGCCTGGGTGTCTGGGTCCCAGGAGCCTTTTGTAGAGGAGTTCTAGGTAGAGGGAGGCAACTTTCTGCAGCAGGAGCTGCAAATGTGCAGATTGCGCAGAGAGCCCAGGGGTGGGAGAGGCCCTGGGAATAAGAGGCGAGTGTGGGCTGGGTGTGTGGGGAAGGTGTAAACACAATCTGCTCCCACCAAAGCCAGCCTGCTCCCTGGGGGAGAGAGCCCCTCCTTCCCAGCCCACATGGCACCCCAGCTGCCAGAGCCCAGGCAACCTCCAAGCCCAGGCAGCACACTCCCCCATCACCAGCAGCCCCTTCCTCTCTCTTTCCCGTCCTTCATCTGGATCAATCCCTGGAGGAGCCACCATCTCCTGCACAGGTTCTTAGAACAGCTGCAAGGGGGTGCTGCCTGTGGAAGTGTGTCTGGGCCGTGAGCCAGCCCCGGTACAGTCCCTGACCTTGGCCTGACAATTCCTTAGACCAGTGGAAGGAGACGGGCAGTGTGGCAGCAAGGATGAAGTGATAGGAACATGGCAAATAGATTAGAGAATGAATGCAAAGATAGGATCAAGGAACACAGACCTGGCTCGGGAACAGTACCCTCTGGCCCTCAGCCTAACAGTCCTGTCACCAGGAAGGCTGATGCATCCCAGGAGAAAGACAAGCTGACAGGAGCTATGACAGGTGGTCATGGACTCCTGGCCTGGGTCAGGTGGGCTCTCTGGTTCTGACAGGCTCCTTCCCCTCATGCGACCTTCCCCCTGCCTCCTCCCTGCCCTACTTTGAGAAGCTCCCACAGAACTGCCTTCGCACACACCCCAGCCAGTCTCCTGCAGTAGCAGCAGCCCCTCCCCAGCAGCATGTGGCCTCCTCCCCCGTGGCTTCTGAGTGGGTTCCCTCTCATCTGCTGCATCTCTCACCCTTTTCCTTCCTCCCTTCAGATGTGGAGCTTGGCTGACATACTGCTCTCTAGAGAACTCCTCTGTCTTCTGCTGCCTGAAAGTCAAGGGCAGGGACCAGCCAGGCGGAGACATTGCCGCTGGGCCAGCAGTGGGGGGCTGGATGGGGAAGAGAGATGAGTGTGCGTGGGGGCGTTGGGGGGGGCTTTTGAACATTAATGGCTGTGAGACAGTTGGGAGCAGCTGCCTGCAGGGTCTGCGCCTGGATCTTGGGAGAAGAAGCGGAAATCTGCTTTTATCTCTGCTCAGGATCAGGCAGGATCATAAAGAGAGAGATGGCAGAGCAGCTGGGGACAAAGGAGGCCGCCCCATTACTGAGCAGTCAGCAGACCGACAAAAACAAGAGTCATGCTTTCTCCCTTCCCACATGCTACTGTCCATTTGGAATACACACATACATGCACATGAACACACACACATACACGCACATGAACACACACACATGCACACACAACACATTCAGAGGACAAGCTGTTGGCAGACATGTCACAGAGACAACTGGCATTTCTTATTGATAATTTCAGCAGAGCAGCCAGTGACGGGGTGAGCTCTGGGGACTGGGGAGAGGCAAATGCCACAGGAAGTGAGTGCCACCATGGCAAACTGACACCAGCACAGCCCAGAACCACAAGCCGAAGTTTAACGGAATAGCCCCTGAGCTGACAGGCCAGTGAAGCCCCCTCTCTGGCAAGCAGCTGTGAACCGTCACGTTGCTGGGAGGCCGTGTACCACGGTAGCTCAGAACTGGGGCTCTGCAGCCTCCATGTGAGCCTTGGATCACCCACTTATTAGCCAGGTGATGTTGGGTAAATTATTTAACCTCTCTAGGTGTTTCCTCACTTATAAAATTTGGATAGTAATATTACCAGTCTCTGTGGGTTATTGTGAGGATTAAATAAGAGAATGAATGGAAGTCCTTGATTAGTAGATGTGAGCTATCAGCTGTCTCTTGTTTCTGTAGTTTCCTCACTCCCTGCTTGTTTGTGCCTCTTGCCTGGGCTGCTGGGTTGCCCCAAGTTAGCCTGGTGGACCTCAGTGAGTCTCTCTCTCTGGGCCTTCTTGGGCCCAATAGTCCCTCAGAGCATCCTCAGGAATGTTCTGCTCTTCCTGCCAGCCCCAGCCAGGCCCTGCACAGGAGCCCCACAGCCAGGGCCTGGTGGGAAATGAAGACTGGCAGGTCCAGGGGCTGAAAGGGAGGAGTCTCCCTTCTCAGTTGTTGCTTTTCCCATTCTCCCCCTTGCTGCTGCTTCTGCCCCCATGGCATCCTCCTGGGCTAGAGGAGAAACCAGGACTTGAGCTGAAATGGAAACCAAAACAGATTGGTACTTTCTCCCATGCCCAGAGACAGGACTTGTATTTTAGGGTAGACATTCCAGAGCACCACCTCTCCCTTAGAAGTCTTCTAGCAATGTCCTCAGTACCCCAGCATGATCACCTCATGCCAAAGTCTAGAAAATGCAATCAAGACCACACCTGCTTCTCTTCAAACTAATCCTTGTCCCTTGGCCTGGAACATAGCAGGCTTAAGGTGGGAGATGAATGAACAAACCCACCCTCCTACTCTTAACCTCGGTCAGTGACCACAAGACCTGAAGACTGCCTGCTATGGTCCCTCATGGCCAGGCCTTGCATATTTCTTCCTCCCTTGTCCCCAGCTCTGCCCTCTGCCCTCCAAGGCTCCCAGCCTTGACTTACCTGCCTGGGCCAGCTGATCCCACTACCTGGGGCTGAGCCCCGCCTGCAGAGGTGAGGGCTTACTTCAGAGGTTCTTTCTCCCTAAACAGAAGAAAGCACTGTAGTCAGAGGATTGAAAGGGACAACCCCATGTTTCTGGCTCTCCTCTTCCTCCTACCCGCATACCTAGCAATTCATCCACATACTGAGGGGCAGGAACACATAGGAAATCAATTGAAATTTATGACTGGAATTGGACAGCAGAAATTTCACTCCTACTGCCAGCCAGTACTCCATGGCAGCCATCATCAGCTGGTGGTTCCAAAATGTCAGACCAATTTTTCCAGTTAACTGGGTCCCAAGGAGTTAATAGGTAACTGCTTCCTTCTGGCTGTCACACCAGGCCAGGCCTGGCCAGATGGCCCCCAGATTTGGCCCTTCCTCTCCTGCCAGGAGATCCAGGCCTATTTCATGTAGAAGAGATGGACTGCCTGGAAGTTAAGGACCTTGAAGATTCCATATCAGCCACAAATTGGATGGATGACCTTGAACAAGTCATTTAAATCTCCCTATCCCTCAGTTTCTTCAACCATTAACAAGAGATAAAAAACACATGTTCTGCCAACCCGCTGGAGTTATTGAGACTTCCAAGTCAGTTAATGTGTGCAAAACCTCTAGGGAAGAAGAAAGCACTGATCAAGTATAAAATAACAAGAGAACAGCCAGCATTTATTGAGCAGTTACTCCGCGTCCTTACAAAAACCTTACAACCACTCTGTTATTAACCCTAGTTTACATATAAATGAAATAATTACATAATTTGCCCAAAGTCTCTCAGCTAGTAAGAAGGGAGCTAGTAAAGGAAGGGATTTAAATTCTGGCTGTCCAATTCTAGACTCAAACTCAATAGTGAGGTCCAGTCAAACTTTGAGGGTCTACTATGGGTGAGGCCCGGCAATGGTCATTTTATGTATATCAACCCATTTAATTAATAATATTAATCGTGCACTATTACGATGATCTCTAGCCTAGCAAGTCAAGGAAGGGTATCACAGAAATGCCTCTGTTTCTCATACATGCCCAGGAGCCTTTCCCATTAAGCCTTCTGACAATCAGGATCTGGGAGAATCGCAGGATGGCTAAGGCGACAGCAGACATAGAGAAAGACTCAAGTTCTCTCAGTTGCCACTTTTCATGTATCTAAGTGGCCAGTTTTCACATATGGCAGGCAGATTCCCTGCCTCGAAAGAGGCATGGAGGGTCACAGGCATGCATGGTGACTGAACCCCCCATCTGAGTACACTCTGTGTGGAGACACCCTCCTCCTAGTGGGTCATGGAACCCAGGGACGTGATAGGATCTTTCTCACACTTTGTTTCACTAGGAGTGAGAAAGCTACTCTTTAGACAGGCCTCTTACACTACGGGGGTCCATAGGCACATAACATCTTACACATCGGTACTTAATATTTGTTGATTTTTTTCAGTGCTTGATTGGGCATAGGATCCCCTATCATCACATGACACTGGTCACCCAGGGAAAGAAAAATCTGGAAGTTCCTACGACTTCACCCCCTAAAGGCCACGTGGCTTCAGCCTAGGGAAGAGTTAAGGTACTTAATATTTGTTGATTTTTTTCAGTGCTTGATTGGGCATAGGATCCCCTATCATCACATGACACTGGTCACCCAGGGAAAGAAAAGTCTGGAAGTTCCTACGACTTCACCCCCTAAAGGCCACGTGGCTTCAGCCTAGGGAAGAGTTAACTTTCTGACCACTGGAGACAGCGTCCTGCCCGCAGGGGCTGCCCAGCCAATGGCACTCGATGATGATGATGTCATGCTCCTCCTGCGCCTTCTATTGGGGACTGGACAGCAAATCCTGCTGGAGGTTCAGGCAGTGGAGGCGCTGAGGCGGGCGGGGACAGAGAAAGGGCGAGGGGGGAGGGAAGGGCAAGGAAAGGCAAGCAAGGCAACCCAGAGCTGCTTCTGCCTCAACCCTCTCTCCACTCCCCTGTGCCTTCCGACTGGAGGTACCCCTGAGGACCGCCCCACACTCGGAGAAGCGAGGCACAGTGGCTTTGGTCCAGAGGAGGGGGCCGGGGACTCCCGTTCCCAACTGGAGAAACAGTATGTCGACCAGGCACTCAGGGAGCAGGGAGACTAGGGCGAGGGCCAGGACACAGTGCGCGCGCGCACACACACACACACACACACACACACAGGCATCCCCAGGCTTGCGAAGCAACAGCTTCCCTGGCAGCAACTTTCCTCCCCCTCTGCAGACTCTTCTGCCTTACCTGCCTGAGGACTGGAGGTCTGTGTCCGAGCTGCTGTCCACAAGGGCCCCATCCACTCCGCTGGGCTCTCTGTGGGAAGGAGAGCAGGCAGGAAGAGCTGTGAGCAGTGCCCAGGCCCCTCCCTTGCTTCTCCACACGACCTAGCTACATTGGGGCTATGGGACTGGAGCTGCAACCTAGCGCAACAGTTGAAGCTCTATGTTCCCCTTACTCTGAGAGTGAGCCTCTCAGAGATTTATTGCAAATACCCTCCCAGCACCCCGGAGGTCCATGCAGCCCCAACCCACCTTCAGCTTGGTTGTAGCCCAGCTCGGTAGTTCCTCCCCCACCCCAGCCATAGCCCAGTCAGTTTCTCACGGTTGGACTTGATTGGCAAATCGGCGGCGCCAGAGCATAGCCAAGGTGCTGAGCAGGAAGAGGGTGGTGCACATGGCTCAGCTGCCCCATCCCCTCCCAGACGGAGTCTGCAGGAGAAGGCCACAGGCAATGGGGCCAAAATGGCCCCGGCCAGCTCTCACTATCCACTACCAGTCTGTCCCAAGGTTCCTGCTGAGGATGGATTAAGAGGCTCAAGCTGATTAGTGGGGTCAGCAGCCCGACCTTGTGAGGACTGATTAACCTCACTGGGCCCAGGTTCTCCCCTCCAGTGGCAGGGTGAATGGACCTCAGAGAAGTGGACCTCCACTAACGTGTGTGCTTGGTGGCACTGAGCAGCTATTCCTTATGTAGATTTGATAAGACCTGGGCCTTGCCATCAAGGCGCTGTCTAGACAAATGTGCTCTCACGTTAAACAGATGACTTCAACAGAGTAACTTAGGAGCTATTAAAGACACCTCCTGAGCACTTTAGGAGTTTCAAGCATCAGGGAAAGTTTTGAGGGAGTTAAGGGCATCTGAATTTGCAGGTGCTCAGAGAAGGATGGGCTCTCAGGAGACTCTGCCAGGCTGCTGGGCATACTCCAGTAACTAGAAGTTGAATGGTAGTGGAACAGTGATGTCACAGTGGAGGTACCAGGTGAAGAGGAAGAATGTTACACGATGAAGCCAGAAAAACAAGGGAGACCAGTTTTATCCTCTAGACAATCCTCTCCAAACTGGTTACACACTCTCTTCAGTAAAAGGCAGAATTTAAGTGCACACTTACAAAATAGATACATGCACCCACTTATAAATTATATACTGTGGGCTGGCTGGTTAGCTCAGTTGGTTAGAGCACAGTCTTATAACACGAAGGTCATGTGTTCCGATCTCCATACTGACCAGCCACCAAAAAACAAAATAAATATATACTGGACTATTATAAAAATACATTTCTATACCATAAGACATACATAAAATTTGTAAAGGATGAGATGAAAATAAATAGATTTCTCCTACTCTCTTTCCACATCCCAGGGGAACCTCTTGGGCAGCCCCTTGGGAGGCCACAGCACCAGATTTGAGAAACTATCAGGGGAGTTTAGTGTGTTTGGAGCATGGAGCTGGCCATGGTGGTGCTGGGCATGGGTCTGAGAGTGATGTAAGAACCCGAACTCACCCACTCTCCTCTCTCCCGCTCCAAGACCCCCAAAGGGCATTAGATTTTCCTTCCCTCAACTGAATTGGAGGCGTGTCAGAGGCACTGCCCAAAGGGCCAGTCAGGCATCGGCACCTCAAGCTCCAGGAAGGGCCCGGGCTGGGGCTGGCCTGGGAAGTCCTCCTGCTGCCCTTGGCTCTCTACTTTGAAATAGGAGTTTAAAATAAATACATGAACCAAAACTGAAGAGGAGAGCCAACCCCTGGCAATGCTTGGGCAGTTGGACACCCAGTCTTGAGCAGGTCACCAGGGGGCCTCAGGGAGAACCAGACACACCCCCTATGTACTGCGACATCTGTTTTAGACACTACAGGCCCTGTCTGGCCTCAGGCTTCCACAGGGAGTTAGAAGTGGGACCTGGCGGTGAGCGACTGCTTGCAGGACGGTACACTGGGGCTCTCAAGACTGTCCACACCTCTGGTGTAATCTCACTCACACCTCCCTGAGCAGGATCCACCAGGATGAAGGATTTGTCTTCCCACCCCAAGAATCGGGACCTTGGTAGTGGCTGAGATGTCACCAGCAGCCTGGACCTTCCTCAAGACTTCTTGAACCCCAGCTGCCTCTTTTTCGGACTTTGTCACCACAGGGCCAGAATTTAGGGCAGCACCTGGTTCTAGCCTGCCCGTGTCATTAATAAGCCACCCACCCAGGGGCTTCTTTCCGCCGCCGTCGAGTGCGTGCACCGAGAGGGAGGGGGACGTTGGCTGGAAGAAACGAGGCGAAGGGCTCTGGCGCCCGATGTTGGAAGTGTGCTCAAGTTCGGACAGCCGGAGCGGTAGGCGAGCAGGGAGAAGACGCCGGTCCTAAACCTTCCAGAGCCTGGGGGTCCCCAGAGGTTGGCTGAGGACAGGCCGGAGGCAGCGGGAACACAGCTTGGTCCGCGGCGACCGCGGGAGGGACTCCCGTTCGCCCCCTCGGGAGGCGGGCGGCCGCGAATGCCTGGGCGTGTTTGGCTTTGAGTCAGGTCCCCTCCGCGTGCAGGGTGCACACACGCACACGCGCCGACACCGCACGCAGCGGGAGCGGCACACACGGCCCCCAGACCCGCGCCCGCCGGGGCGCACTCCCGAGTGGCCCGCGCCGCGCAGCGCCGCGTCACCGCCCCTTCCCCCGAGACA